ACCTGTGGTTAGTAGGGAATGGAAGAATGGGCTATAATTGTACCCCATTCCTCCATTCCCTACCAACCAAAAGGTATGTATAGGGATCCTTGGTTCATCTCGATTCCGACCTACCTTCATCCCACCATCTGTTGAGAAATTCCTGCTCCAGCGCCCCAGATTGCTCAGGAGGATGGCGCAGGCGCTGGGGGGTACGCCAAGGAGTCCAGCAAGGAGTTCCAGGAGGCTCCCTTTTAAATAAAAAAACTCTACAGGAGCTTCGGGTGTTTTTCGCATATAATATAATATAATATAATATGATATAATATAATATAATATAATATAATATAATATAATATAATATAGTATATAATATGATATAATACAATATAATAAGTATAATATAGTATAATAGAATAGAATATATTATAATATGTGCTCAGGTTTTGCGCTGTTAGGGTTCAGGGTTGAGAGGCTTCATTACGGTTTAGGGTGTAGGGCTAGGGCTGAGGGTTCCTTTCCACGGGTTATTTCTGTATTCTTGAGGGTTTAGGGCTCAGGGTTGATAGGCGTCATCAAAGGGTAGGGTGTCGCGTTTCAAGTTTCGGGCCCAGGGTTGCCCTCAAGGGTTCCTTCACGTGATCTGGGTTTGGGGTCTAGGGTTTCCAGTTCAAGACATGAACCGACAGCCACCTTGGAATTGGTTCATCGCGGATCTCCTTGTTGCCGTTGCGCCCTGGAGAAGTAGCTGTTGCGAAGCCCGCTAGGGTTTGGGCTTCAGGTGTTGTTGAGGGTTTAGGGTTGATAGGCTTTAGGGGTAGTCGTGCACATGTAACTAAGTTACAACCCTAAACTCTAAACCCTAAACCCTAAACTCTAAACCCTAAACCCTAAACCCTAAACCCTAAATTCCAAACCCTACTAAGCTACTTAGTGGGGTTTAGGACTTTTTGGGTGTGTGCACGGATTTTGGAAACCTCCAGCCTGGTTCGCTGTGATGATCAGCTGATAACGACGTCATACGCATAGGCCCCATAGTAGTTCCTTTTTGGGGTTACCTTATAGGATTCTATATATGAGCCCCAAAAAGGAGCTACTTCAGGGCCTAGGAGTAGGGACCCTCGGAATCCCCTAAATCCCGCAAGAGGGAATCCCAAAACCCATCTAAGAGCCCTTTTATAAAGCAACCCTCAACCCTTTGCAAGGAACGCTTTTAAAGGAACCCAGAGCTCTAAACCCTAATGTAGGAACCTGATTTAGGAGCCCAGGCCCTCGAAACCCCCCAGCAATCTCAGGCTTCCTGTAAATGACCCCTCAAGAAAGACCTCAAGTTTCTTAAGCAGGCCCCTGTAATACCCTGAATCCGAGCACCCCCTAGACCCTAAACCCTAAAGCCCTAAACCCTAAACCCTAAAACCCTAAACCATAAACCCCAAAACCCTAAACCCTAAAACCCTAGACCCGAAACCTACAACCCCAAAACCCCAAACCCTACACCCGTAAAACCCTAAACCCTTAAAACCCTAAAACCCTAAAGCCCTGCACCCTAAAACCCTAAATCCCAAGACCGTCCACGGCGCCAGGCTCAGAAGGCCACCTTCCACAAGCATTGCAAGGAGTCAGGGACTCACTTGGGCTCCTTTGAGGGAAGCTCAAGGGCCCCATTTAGGGTCTAGGGTTTAGGGTTTAGGGTTTAGGGTTTAGGGTTTAGGGCCTTCTAGACTGTAGGGACTCATCGAAGCTCTTGGAGGGAAGCTCAACGGCTCCATTTGGGGTTTAGGGTTTAGGGTTTAGGGCCTTCAAGTCAGGGACTCACCGAAGCTCTTTGAGGGAAGTGCCAGGACTCCGTGGGGCCTTCTATACTGTAGGCACCTAAATACACCATACCTTTTTTGGAGGTTCCTTATTGTACCTTATAGTATATTGGGCCCCAAAACCGTAATCTAATTTTATTTATTGAGGTCGAGACCGCAGGAGCGCCACTTCCCAGAGGCACAGAAAACCCTAAACCCTAAATCGTAAAAACTAAACCCCAAACCCCCTCTAAACCCCAAACTCTAACTCCCTAAACTCACAAACCCTGAAACCCCCATAGCCTAAACCAAACTGCCAAAGGGTGGACATTATCATCTCGACCGCTGCGATTCCCGGCCGGAAGTCACTTGGCGGCTAGTGGTCCCGAGTTCAGGGATGCTGAAGGTTATAGGGTTTGAGGGTTTAGGGGTGTAGGGTGTAGGGTTTAAGGGCTTAGGGGTTT